ACAATGTTACTGATACTATTCTTTCTCACACCTTCAACTCAAACCACCAAAATATATCATTTAATCATTACATTAATATCATTAATATGCAGGCAACTAGTCACCAGAACGCATATATCAACTCTGTCAAATTACTTCAGCTTACAGCACAGATATTTGCTGTTATGCAACAGCAAACAGCAAATTTTGAATATAGGTAACAAGATTTTAAAGAGCAAAAACACACAGCTGTGTCACAAACATCTCCCTCAAAATTCAAAGCATCTGACAAAGGTCACACTTCATCTCTGTGTCAGTCCGTTGAGGTTCAGTGACTTTTTAAACACATTTTCCAGTGCAGAAAAACCTCCAGAAAAGCGTCTTGTTTGACGCACATCACACCTCAGGGCATTGTGGGCGTGCTGGTGTTTTGCACTCAGCCGTCCACATTTGGAGAAAATTAAAACAAATGAAAACCAACACTTCATTTCTGATGTTATTGCTGGTAATGAAGCACTGCTGTGATGCTTTTCGAGTCCCCCCTGCTTCCACCCCTTTCCTCCCCTCTCGTCGCACACCTCTCCAGCCTCTCTGGAGACTCTGCCCTAACAAAATACAGACGGGACGGCGGTGAACGTGCATACTGTGTTACAGCTAGTACATCAACCTGCAACAGGGCTTTGGGCAGATGGCTGAGGTTTTTAACTGCAGCGTAATGCAAGAACAGCTCAATAATTAGCATCGTTGTCGTACTGAAACACACTGGTTATTCTTACACGTGCCAGGGGACTCGTTGTTTGCCTTAACACCCCATTTGCTTCTCCAAGGCAGCCGTGCAATGATAGGAAACTCTACGCTGAGTTATAGTAGGCATGTTTAACAAAGTAAAAAGGTACACTCAAGGAGTGCTACTGAGGATATGATGTCACATGCCAGACAGGGAAAGGAAACTGCACCAAAAAAACTCAAGATAGACGAGGAAAAAAAGTTTAAGTGACAAAAAAAGCTGCTACAGTCAGGAATAAACTATTAATGATTTAATGTGTCACTCAGAGCTGAGAGGGAAATGCCCAGAACAAAATAATCCAAAAAAATTGTCATTTAAACTTATGCAGAAGTCATAAAGGCATAAAAAAAATCCCTGTTATTGATAGTAACAGAATTTTGTGGTTTTGTAAAAACCTAAAACAGCTAAAATAATAAATTAATCACATTTAATTCATGTGATGACATGATGTAATTGTTTTTACGGAGAACCACATTTTGCTTCGACCTGTTTAGTTTAACTTCACTTTATGATTTCCTCCATTTCCCAGAATGCCTTTCCCCCAGAGACAGGGGCGTAACCATGTCTGCTTTCATCTGTACTCTAGGAAGGAAAAAAAAAAACCTTCACCCTTTGATTCGGAGCGACTGACACCAAGCTGACAGTAACTGTTTTCAGTCTCTGAAACTTTTTCTGCTGTCCAACTAAACGCAGCTGCTCTAAATACCAAAACTTCCTGCTGCTATTCAGACAGTGTTCTCCACAACAGTAACAGATGAAGAGACTGTTACAACTGAAAGCAATCAACTAACCCTAAAAATTAGGGCTGTGCTGAATCGTTGAAACTTCATAATGCTGACAGTTGAATTCTGAACCAGCATTCAAATGCTGCGTAGCTCGTTTTTTTTTGCACGTTTATTAATTCTGTTTAAACTCTGTATTTCTGCACAGCTGCAGATAAAGATTATCACTAATATTATTTGTAATATACTATTTGTCAATGCAGTCTACCTCCCAACTCTTTTAATAGTGTTGCTTGGTCAGTGGCTCCATACACATGTCAAAATATGACACTCTAGGTACCCCTCCAGCATCAGTTTTGGACATTGTGTGTAGGCTAGGCTGACTTTTGATTTCACACGGGAAACAAGCAGCGGGCTCCCAGGTGAAAGTCGGAATTTGTCTGATCCATCCACCTCCCATCCCAATCTATGCCGACTTTCTCTCTCTTCATACTACTGCAGATACTCGGAGCGTCAAAAAAGGGTGCTTTGGTGCATCATCATCTGACACCAAGAGCCACTAACCAGGGACTTTTTTAGCTTTAATTTCAGAGTAGGCACTCTTCCAGCACGAGAAGTGACGTAAGTGTATGGTGACTGGTCAAACGCAGCCAATGCAGCACTGACAACCGCTGTTTTCAAAAACCTTTTAACTGCATAAACAACAAACAGCACAAAACACAAATAGTTCATACCAAAAAAAAAAAAAAGAGGGAAACACAGACAAATGGTTCGAGACAGCAAACTAATCCAGGCTTTGCTCAACATATACAGTGGAAATACAGCGCAATTTTGGCTTATCAAAGTGGCAGTGACAGTGCTATACCAACCGCCGACTGGTTTACAGGACGTCACTTCAGTGTTGCCATTAGTCCTGCGAAAACAGGAGAAAAAGCCCTTGAAGCTATGTTGTTCTCGAGCAAGATCCCCAATGGCCACTTCCTCTCAGGGAGTCTCAAGAACAGTTTGGTCCGAAAAAGGCTGTATGATACTTTTATAACTAAGCCCTTCAGTCAGAGAGCTGACTTTAAGACTGACTATAAATCACTTCATGGTTTAGGGCTAAAACACATTCCTCACATCCTTTTGGCCTCTTAGTTCACCTGGAACAGGTCTGCTAACTACAATCAAAACACTGTTGGAACAAACAGTTCATTACCGCACTCTCTGTTAGACTTGCTTAGATTTCCATGCTAAAAAAACTTCTTCTTTTTTTTTAATCTTTGTGACGTAAAGCATCTCAGTTTTTTTTCGATGTATGAAATGTCCTGTATAAATGAACTTGCCTTGCATAAGTAGCATTTAAGAAGTTGACAACCCAACATATCTTAAGGATGCATTATGATACTAGCATGCCATCGGTATCGGCCAATATTGGCTTTAAAATGAACTATCAGCTTTTTCTGACTTGGCACAATGAATGAATATTACATACATTGAAAAGTATTGTACTTCATGTCTCCATCTGCGGGTGGGCCATCACAATAAGAGTATGCTTGCATAATACGATGTTAATTCCACTACAGAAGAGACTTGATGATCACTAAGATTAGGTGGGGATATATAGGTATCGGTATCAGTCAAATAAAAAATCCAATACCGTGCATCCCAACCATATCTGACTGCTAAAAATGTTTACAGTGTGTGTATGAAGAAAAACTAGACTTTAAAAGGACCTTGTCCATCTTAACAACAGGCAGCTTGTTTCAGGGCTGCTTGTACATCAGTCAGCTTAGCTATCACTGGACATGGAGCTGAACACTGGAAGAAGTATTCAGGTCCTTTGTTTAAGTAAAAGTACTCATATTACACCATTGAAATACTCCACTGCAAGTAAAAGTCCTGCATTCAAAACGTAAGTAAAAGTAAGTTAGTCTTATCAGCAAAATGTACTAAGAGAATGTACTTAGACTAATCTGATGATTATTTCTTCGATTAGTCGACTAATCATTTCATCGAAAAATGTGTTAAAATGTTGAAAAATGTTAGTCTGTCTTTCCCAAACCCCAAAATTATGTCATCTAATGTCTTGTTTCAGACTCACGCCAAAGGGTTTTAGTTCACTGTCATGGTAGAGTGTGTAAAGCTGCCAATATCTGAACGTAAGAAGCTGCAATAAGAGTATTTTGGTGTACTTTATAGTACTTTTCTACGAAAAATGACTCAAACCGATTAGTTGACTACTAAACTAGTCACCGATTATTTTTATAGTCGATTAGTCATCGATTAGTCAACTAATAGTTGCAGCCCTACTGTCAGTGTTTTAATATTCTACCTGATGTTTGTGGATTAATATTCCTGCTGCATTAATGTGTATGTTGCATTTTAATGCTGCAGACATTTAAGGTAGTGGTCATTTTAACTTAAATCTAAAGCAATGAATCATGTTCATTAAGATCACCATATGTTTGCAGCCTGGCTGTCCTGACAGTGTCCAACTTTTAATGGTGTCAAAAAAGCAGCCCTGTTTTCAGCTTTGTAACAATGCATTTTCCAGCTGATAAAGAGGGTTTTTAAAGAGTCTATTTAGTTTAAGGCAACTGGTCCAGTCATGGGGTTCACATTTCTCCTTGGTCATTAGTTTAAGGTCTACACAGTTAAATATATTCAGCGTCATACTTGTGTTTGGCCATGTCATCCAGCTAGTTTGCTGTCTCTGTGAAGCAGCTGTCCGTTAGTTAGTCACTCTACAGAAGGAAACTGCACTTTAAAAACACCAGAAATTCACCATACTTCAAAATAATATGTGTTTTTTTAAAAACAAAACTGATATGTTTTCAGGTCAGTTGCGGCCCATTCAGAATGGACATAGACTCACTTTTGGACTGCAACCCAACAGCTGGGAATCACTGGTTTGAGAGGTGGGGGAATTTTCTCAACACATGAGGGAACACTCAATGCTTCAGCTTACCCCCAATATTCAACATCAACACATCTGTAGACACGTGGCTTTTCTAGTTAAGAAGTGGAATGAAACATTGTTATCTGTAAAATAGTTTAAGCAAGCTGTATAAAGCTGCATAAGATGGAAATACTCGAGTACAAGTACCTCAGATACATAAGTAAATACAGTGTCCACATTCCACCAATGCTGTGAGGCTTCACAAACGACATGTTTACTGAGCATATTATATATAAAGCCATAAAGCTGACACCTTAGTGCTCCTGTACAGACAGCCAATATCACCACTACTAGTTCAAACAGCTTATTTATTAAAAGAATAATTAACTATATAATGTCCACTCGGTTTAAATGAACGAATACATACAAGACGAGTTTAAACGCAACTGTCCCTTTACAATATTAACTCTTGTCATGTGTAAACTGAACTAAACTGTCTCAGGGTGTGAACAGAGGACACGGGGAGTAAGAAAACACACAGTCCCGGTGTTGCCGGTAACGTTTCAGTCCGTGTGTCGGTGTACGGTCAGGACACACAAAATGTCTCCGTTAACAACATGTCTTCACATACCTTGTTTCCCGTACAGGCTCCGGAGCAGAGTAACCTTTGAGGAGAATTAAACCTTTGAATGAATCTGAAGAGATGTTTGAAGTTAGTCCGCACGGAGAGCGCCATCTTGGATTTTGACTTCACCCTACGGTGGCTCTGGAAGGACAAAAGGGAGGGAAGCGTTTCAGCCCATAACAGTAATAAAGGAAAATATTATCATTTTAATCTTACATTATTACAACAAAGTAAAATAAAAAAATAAAAATTAAAAATAAAACACCAAAAAAAATTACACAAAAATAAATATATATATAAATGAAAATAAAATAAAATAAAATAAAATACAGGAACCATGGTGAAATGTAACTCAAGCTTGCTGAAGTACAATTTTGACATACCTGTACTTAATTTTAGTATTTCCAATATCTGCTACTTTATATTTCTACTCCACTACATTTCAGAGGAAAATATTGTACTTGTACTTTACTTACATGTATTTGACACTTACAGTTACTAGATTTATTTATTTATTTCAATAAATAAAATTATATGCTTGATATAACGCAGTGGTGTATCTGTCCAGTAGTAGCCTCAAAGTATCTTAGACTGGCTCCACATTGAGGAACTACAATATTAAAACACTTCTACATGTATTGGTCAGTCAATATAATGTTCTATAGTATTATAAAACAATAAAAGTCATTCTGCATATTGAGTACTTTTAATTTTTTTTACTTGTAATTGAGTGGGCCTATTTTTGGACTATGGAATTTGTACTTTTCATTAAGTAAAGGATCCAAATACTTCCTTCACCACTGCAGGATATATAACCATGAAATAGTGAAATATTCCAATACATTTTTTAAAATTAAGCTCATTATTATGACTTTCTATGTTACGCTGCTTCCTTTTCCAAACAGTGTTTAATCTGGGTGTGTTAATTTATTGTGTAATTCCAGTTGCTTTCTTGTAAAATATAATTTTTCCAGTGTGTGGTCTGAATGAGCAACCGCATAACAAAGACTTTTTTTTTTTTTTACCAGGACGTAAAGTAAAACATTGAAAGAATACTTCTTTCCTCTTTGATGACTAAGAGAAGGGTTACCCGCCATGCAAAAAGTTAAATGTTTTAGCTTGAGTGTCAATGTGTGAGAGTTTCCTTGGATAAATCAGATATATTCTGGAGCATTGATTGATTTAACAGGAGCCCAATATTAGGGCTTGAATTTCAATTTGCTTTTTCTATTGTCTGGAGGCTTTTCCCTACATAATTCTTCTCAATAATGTTCACTTCAGCAACACCACATTCATCAACTATTAGCACCTGGGGGTGAAGAGGTTCTCACATCTTTAACTTTAGTGAAAGCATCAATATTACAGAGTTAAAATATTCTTCTACAAGTTAAAGTCCTGCATTCCAAATCATACTCAAGTTAAAAAAAGCACAAAAAACAAAGCATCAAACCATACTAAAGTAAGTAAAAGTACTCATTGTGCTATTGATGAAATAATGTGTTCATCACTTTAATGTTGCAGCTGGTAATATTGGAGCTATATTTAATTTCTTCACGATAAACATGAAAAAGTTAAAACCACTCATTGAATGTAATTGCTTCAACTTAAATCTTTTAACAGTTGTCAACTTAAAAAGCTTGTGTTCACAATAAGGGAGTGCAGCTTAATCCTTAATAATTATTTTGTAGATTTTTATGTTGATAATCTAAATTTGCAAAGTAACTATAAGTGCATTGGAGCACAAAGTACAATACTTGCCTCCAAAATGTAGTGGAGTATGATTATAAAGTACCATAAAATGGAAATACTCAGGAAAAGTAAAAGGCCCTTACTTAAGTAGACTACTTGAGTAAATGTACTTAGTTAAATTCCTCCCCCAACCCTACTCGAGTAAAAGTACAAAAGTATTTGCATCAAAATATAATCAAAGTACAAAGAGTAAAATGCCTAACTAGTTACATGTAACAAGGAAAGTAACTTGTTACATGTAACTAGTTACGCCCTGACACTGTGAATGTAATTGCTGGGGGTGTTTCTGCAGGATTCCAGCTTCTGTGTAAATAACAATATTGAGTGTACGCAGTGGTGGAAGAAGTATTGGGATTTTGTGCTTTAGTAGAAGTAGCAGTATCACAATGTAGAAATACTCTATTACAAGTAAAAGTCCTGCATTCAAATGCATTAATGTGTTCATCACTTTAATGCTGCAGTTGGTAAAGGTGGAGCTAGTTTAATTACTTTTGTGGTAATAATGAAAAAGCTTAAAAAAAATACTGTAGAAAATCTAATTGGATCAGTTTTTTTAATGGTAATTAGTTAATTCCTCTAACTTAATTTAGTTCATTGGTTGAATATAATTTCTTTAGAAGTTGTCATAACTTAAAAAGATCGATTCAATCTATTGTGTTAATTTTTGTTGTTAAGCAAAAACATTTGTTTTTAGAGATTAGCTTAATCCATAATAATTTATTTGGTAGATTTATATATGAATAACCTAAATTTGCAAAGTAACTATAAGTGTAGTGGAGTAAGTACAAGTAACTCAAAATCATACTTAATGTTGCAGCTGGTAAAGGTGGAGCTAATTTTAATAACTTTTATGGTAAACATAAAAAAGACTAAAAAAAAAAAAAAACATGCAAGCAAACAAAAACTGGGAAATTTCATTAGAAGTTGTTATAATTCAAAAAGACTGATTCAAACTGTCGCATTGTTTTTTGTTGACCTGAAACAGTTATTATTAGAGTGTCACTTAATCCATAATGTGACCTGATAATTTTTGGTTGACTTTATACTGATAATTTAAATTTGTGAAGTAACTAAAGCTTTAAAATAAAGTACGATATTTGCCTCCAGAATGTAGTGGAATATAATTATAAAGTACAACAAAATAAAAATACTCAAGTAAAGTACAAGCACCTAAAACTGTACAGTGCTTGACTAAATGTACTTAGTTACATTCTACTTAGCACAAAATAAATGGAGATAAGATGAAACTCAAACTAAAAGAGAAAAAATAAGGGTCTTATATTCATGTAGAGTAAAACTCAGCCACTTGTAGGTGGAGCTTCCTCCTCTCTGCTGAACTGAACACCAACTGATCTATATGCATGTCTGAGCCGTGTGCAGCCTATGGAAGACGAAGATGTGCAATTACACACCACCCCCACCGCACATGTACAGTAAGCTATAGAAATGTGTCAGACGTGCGGTTTCCTTATTGTCTGAGGTCTATATGTTAATTGGGTGGTGTTGTGTCTAGGCCTGGCTGCTTCCTCAACAACTGAACTTTCCCAGGGAGGCAGCTGCACAACTATTCCATACCATACCTCATTACAAAATGGCGATATACGTACTATAAGTGATTATGCTACACGCTGGGTAGGGTTACAATATGTTTGCAGGGCACGCTGGCCGCTCCTTCAGACCTCTTGTTTCTCAAACATCTGCTCCTGATTTTTTTTTCCCCTCCACCTTTTGCATCTGGTTGCATTTGCGGCACAAAATACAGACTATCATTCCATATTCATTATTATTTCCCGAGGCGCTGAGGCCGAGCTCTTTGGTGTTTCACATGGTGGAGACCTGAGCCAGTATGTTCTCTCACGCCTGGGTGATGGGAGATCTGGTCGGTGGAGCAGAGACCGACTGGTGGGAGATGGGTTTGTAGTGTGTGTGTGTGTGTGTGTGTGTGTGTGTGTGTGTGTGTTTGAATCTTCAGCTCCTGTTTCCTGGCCACCCAGTAAAGGTTGGTCCTCCTGCTCTTCTTTTTTCTCCTGCCTCTGCCTCTCTCCTTTATAGTGGAAGAGAAATTCCTTTCCTTAGACCAAGAGTCGTGCTTTCTATCTATTTATATTTTATGTGAGTCTCATGCTAATGAGTCTCATCTTCTCATGCGATAGGTGACAGGGTCAGAGTGAGAATGTGTTGATGCTAACCAAGCCAGCAGCTAGTATTAGGGTTATCATCACCCTCTCGTTCAATAAATGGTCTCTTCTGAGGCGGCCAGTAGCTCAGTGGTTGGGGCAGGCGTCCCATGTACACAGGCATTGTCTTTATCCCTATTCTCTCTACCCTTTCACACTTAATCTGTCCTGTCAAAAAAAGGCAAAAGCCAAAATAATAATCTTAAAAAAAAAAAAAAAAAAAAAAAGTCTTCTGGCTCCAAAAATCCAAGATGGCTATGGCAAAAATGTCAAACTTGAGGCTTCAAAACAAGAGTCCATAAACCAATGGGTGACATCACGTGGACTCAAGGTCAAAAACTCCTCCTTTAAATATATTTTTTTTTAAATATACAGGCCTACCACATTTACAGAGATTTTAATAGCATCAATGATGTTTGTAGAATAATAAGAGAAAGTTTCAAATGTGCACACATGGCTTTGAATACATATAAAATATAAATCAATAAATGTAAAAATCGTAATTGTGGCAGAACACAGAGAAATACATATACAGTCACATGCCAGCTCCTGCAGCATAACGTAAAGTTGGCTTTTCGTGAAATAAAATGTGGTGAAAAAGTCTTTGTTTCAGGGGAATTCAAGTGTTAAAAACTGTCTATCACTCAGTTTGAAGCAGCACAAGAAGAAGAAACAGAAACTCAGCAGTGAGATCTCCAGAGAGGAGCGAGAGGCCGTCCAGGTGATGAGTGAAGACTTTGTGCTTTCATCACAAATCCTCCTGCTTTCCTTTCACCATCAGGGTGATTCATTTTTCATCCTCATCAGGCTCTCTGCACCTCCTGCTACTGCTCCTCGTCCTCCTCCACCCGAACACTACCCAACTTCCTTTTCTCACCTCCTTCTTTATAATTGTCTCTATTGTCCTTACTCTGCCTTGTGCCAGTCCCAGTGGAGGAATGTAATGATATTAAAAATATACCAGTATTATCGTGAAGGTGATGATATGGCACATCCCTACGGCTGAGGCACTATGGATATGTACTGACTTAAAGCTTTAATCTGGTACGGTGCATCAAAGGTAATGGTGACAAATGGTGACATCTATGATTCAAACCATACATGATCCATTTTAAATAAATCAAATAAATACATATATAGTATATATTCATGTAGGTGAAACTATGCATGCAACATTTTTCAGCTTCTAAACACACGCTTGAACACTTTCTCACA